CTGAGAAGAATGTATATTCTGTTGATTTGGGGTGGAGAGTTCTGTAGATGTCTATTAGGGCTGCTTGATGCAGAGCTGAGTTCAATTCCTGGATATCGTTGTTAACTTTCTGTCTCGTTGATCTGTCTAATGTTGACAGTGGGGTGTTAAAATCTCCCATTATTATTTGGTGGGAGTCTAAGTCTCTTTGTAGGTCTCTAAGGACTTGCTTTATGAATCTGGGTGCTCCTGTATTGGGTGCATATATATTTAGCATAGTTAGCTTTTCTTGGTGAAATGATCCCTTTACCATTATGTAATGGCCTTCTTTGTCTCTTTTGATCTTTGTTAGTTTAAAGTCTGTTTTATCAGAGACTAGGATTGCAACCCCTGCTTTTTTTTTTGTTTTCCATTTGCTTGGTAGATCTTCTTCCGTCCCTTTATTTTGAACCTATGTGTATCTCTGCACATGAGATTGGTCTCCTGATTACAGCACACTGATGGGTCCTGACTTTATCCAATTTGCCAGTCTGTGTCTTTTAACTGGAGCATTTAGCCCATTTACATTTAAGGTTAATATTGTTATGTGTGAATTTGATCCTGTCATTATGATGTTAGCTGGTTATTTTGCTCGTTAGTTGATGCAGTTTGTTCCTAGCATCAATGGCCTTTACAATTTGTCATGTTTTCTCAGTGGCTGGTACCGGTTGTTCCTTTCCATGTTTAGTGCCTCCTTCAGGAGCTCTTGTAAGGCAGGCCTAGTGGTGACATAATCCCTCAGCATTTGCTTGTCTATAAAAGATTTTATTTCTCCTTCACCTATGAAGCTTAGTTTCGCTGGATATGAAATTCTGGGTTGAAAATTCTTTTCTTTAAGAATGTTGAATATTGGCCCCCACTCTCTTCTGGCTTGTAGAGTTCTGCCGAGAGATCTGCTGTTAGTCTGATGGGCTTCCCTTTGTGGGTAACCCGACCTTTCTCTCTGGCTGCCCTGAACGTTTTTTCCTTCATTTCAACTTTGGTGATTCTGACAATTATGTGTCTTGGAGTTGCTTTTCTCGAGGAGTATCTCTGTGGTGTTGTCTGTATTTCCTGAATTTGAATGTTGGCCTGCCTTACTAGGTTGGGGAAGTTCTCCTGGATAATATCCTGAAGAGTGTTTTCCAACTTGGTTCCATTCTCCCCATCACTTTCAGGTACACCAATCAAATGTAGATTTGGTCTTTTCACATAGTCCCATATTTCTTGGAGGCTTTGTTCATTTCTTTTTACTCTTTTTCCTCATTTGATCGCTTCATTTCATTCATTTGATCTTCAGTCACTGATATCCTTTCTTCCACTTGATCGAATCAGCTGCTGAAGCTTGTGCATGCGTCACATAGTTCTCGTGCATGGTTTTCAGCTCCATCACGTCATTTAAGGTCTTCTCTGCGCTGTTTATTCTAGTTAACCATTCATCTAATCTTTTCTCAAGGTTTTTAGCTTCTTTGCGATGGGTTCAAACATCCTCCTTTAGCTCGGAGAAGTTTGTTATTACCGACCTTCTGAGGCCTACTTCTGTCAACTCGTCAAAGTCATTCTCTGTCCAGCTTTGTTCCGTTGCTGGCGAGGAGCTGTGTTCCTTTAGAAAAGAAGAGGCACTCTGATTTTTAGAATTTTCAGCTTTTCTGCTCTGGTTTCTCCCCATTTTTTAATCTACCTTTCGTCTTTGATGATGGTGACATACAGATGAGGTTTTGGTGTGGATGTCCTTTCTGTTCATTAGTTTTCCTTTTAACAGTCAGGACCCTCCGCTGCAGGTCTGCTGGAGTTTGCTGGAGGTCCACTCCAGACCCTGTTTGCCTGGGTATCACCAGCGGAGGCTGCAGAATAGCAAATGTTGCTGCCTGAAGATTTCTCTGGAAGCTTTGTCTCAGAGGGGCACCCGGCTGTAAGAGGTATCAGTCAGCCCCTACTGGGAGGTGTCTCCCAGTTAGGCTACTCAGGGGTCAGGGACCCACTTGAGGAGACAGTCTGTCCATTCTCAGATCTCAAACTCCATGCTGGGAGAACCACTATTCTCTTCAAAGCTGTCAGACAAGGATGTTTAAGTCTGCAGATTTCTGCTGCCTTTTGTTCAGCTACGCCCTGCCCCCAGAGGTGGAGTCTACAGAGGCAGGCAGACCTCCTTGAGCTGCGGTGGGCTTTGCTTACCTATTCAAGCCTCAGCAATGGCGGACACCCCTCCCCCAGCCTTGCTGCCGCCTTGCAGTTCTATCTCAGACTGCTATGCTAGCAGTGAGCAAGGCTCCATGGGCGTGGGACTCTCCAAGCCAGGTGCCGGATATAATCTCCTGGTGTGCCATTTGCTAAGACCGTTGGAAAAGCACAGTATTAAGGTGGGAGTGTCCCGATTTTCCAGGTACCCTCTGTCATGGCTTCCCTTGGCTAGGAAAGGGAATTCCCCAACCCCTTGTGCTTCCCGGGTGAGAAGATGCCCCGCCCTGCTTCGGCTCATACTCTGTGGGCTGCACCCACTGTCCAACAAGCCCCAGTGATATGAACCCAGTACCTCAGTTGGAAATGCAGAAATCACCCGTCTCTGCATTGCTCACGCTGGGAGCTGTAGACAGGAACTGTTCCTATTCGGCCATCTTGGAACCAGATCTTCGAGGATGACATGTTTTAATAGAGAAAGCTTTTTGCCATTGTAGAGTCTACCACCACCCTCATATGTACATGTTAAAAGACATGAGTAGACAATTCACACAATAGGAATTACTAATGGATAATTTGACAAGATGTTCACCGTCACTGTTAGAAGTGTAAAGTAAAGCCACAATAAAATACCGCTTTTATAGACACAATTAACACAAGTTTTTAAAAATGGGAATGCTTACTATTAGGACATCATGAGGTACTGGTACTTCTTGGCTGCTGATGGGAATCCACATTGGTTTGTACTTTTGTGAAAAGCATTTTGGAGATACGTATCAGTAGCTTATAGAAACGTGCATACCCTTTGACCCAGTAATCCCACTTTATTCTAATGAAATAATCAGAAAATTGGACAAAGATTTATTCACCAGAAGACTCATTGCATCTTTTATTAATCATAGCAGAAGACTTGGAAACAACAGTGGAAAAATAGTTAAGTAAGTGTGGGGACTTCTATACAATGTAATATTTGGTTGCCACTGAAAATGACAATAACATCAGGAAATGCTCATGCTGCTTGCTATATTTAAAAAAAAAAAAACACAGGATGTGAATAGTGTCTTGATTATGTAGGAAATAAAATTCATCAAGGAAAACAAAATCTGGAAGGAAATACACCAAAAAGTTCACTGTAATAATTCTGAGTAGGAAAATTATGAGATAAGTTTTTAGAAATCTGTATTTTTAATAACATTGTTATACTTTCTCATTTAGGGAGGATTCACTAGCCCCAAATTATTATGACCATTAAATATGTATATTTATATATAATCCTAATACATTCTTAAAGGAGATTTCTGGAAGTCTAATTTAAATTGATGAGCCTGGTTGGGTGTGGTGGCTCATACTTGTAATCCCAGTGCTTTGGGTAGCCGAGGCAGGGGGAGTGCTTGAGGTCAGGAGTTTGAGACCAGCCTGGGCAACATGGCAACAGCCCATCTCTAAAATTTTTAAAAATCATAAATAAAATAGGCCAGGCACAGTGGCTCATGCCTGTAATCCCAGCACTTTGAGAGGCTGACACAGGTGGATCACTTGTGGTCAGGAGTTCGAGACTAGCCTGGCCAACATGGTGAAACCCTATCTCTACTAAAAAAATACAAAAATTAGCTGGGTGTGGTGGCACATGCCTATAATCCCAGCTACTCGGGAGGCTGAGGCAGGAAAATTGCTTGAAACCAGGAGGTAGAGGTTGTAGTGAGCTGGGATCACACCACTGTACTCCAGCCTGGGTGACAGAGCAAGACTTGGTCTCAAAAAAATAAAGAAAAAAAGTAAATTGGTGAACCTGTTTTTATATACTCATTTTTGAAGTGCACAGAGCTCCTCTTCCCTATATAGATACTGTTCCATTTCTCTTTATTTCCATCTCTAGTGCTCTAAAGACTTGATTTCCTCACCGCTCAGTTGTGAGAATAGTCGTAGCTGTATGCTATATTTCCACATAAATTCTTGGAGGGCTTTCTGTATGGGATTTATGACAGACTGAACTGAGGGCAAATTTAAAGGCCTGCCAAACACTTGCCATACTTCTCTTACAGCCAGAGTAATTCTAATGAGGAAAGTTGGTATCTTTACTGCTTGCTCTCATTAGTTGTCGAATGGAGGTTATCTGTAGGGCAAAGCAGCTAGGCTGTGACCTGGCATGATCACGTGATTGTGGACGGCTCTCTGACTCCAGTGCCTGCAGCTCAGGTTTCTTCATTTCAGAATACTGCTGCCTTTTGTTGGCTTTCTGCTTTAATGATGAAAATGAGCATTTGATGGAACAGCCGAAACACGATTTAACTTGCTCCTTGCTGAATCTATTATATAATTACAGAAACCTACTGTTACATGTTTCATGTTCTGTTCTGCAGCCAGAGCACTGGGGCTTAAGCAATGATTTGGATGGATGTCGACCATGTGACTGTGACCTTGGGGGAGCGTTAAACAATAGGTAAGTGGAGCTCCACCTATGCTCTTGTCCTCAGCCTTCCAGGAAAGTCGTGACTTCTAGGAATGAGTGACATTCAATTGTTTCTCAAAAAGATATGCAAAATATATTTTTATATGTCTTGATAAATGTGTGTAGGTACCTCTATGGACTAGATTCCCAGTGATGGAACTGCTAAGTCAAAGTACATATGTATTGTTAATTTTAATAGAGAATGTTAGATTGTTCCAGACATATTGAACTAGTCTATTTTCCTATCAGTTACAAAAGTACCTTCTCCCCCATCCCCAGCAACAGTTGTTATCATCAACCATTTTATTTTTCAACAGTCTAAAAACATGGAAAATGGACTCCTGTTTTAATTTGTGTAGAGAATCTTTTCATTTTCTTTTTTTTTTTTGCAACTTCCAAACCCATTAATGAAAATTACATAAAATAATGTTTAGCTCCTTAAATACGCTAGTATTCCTTGAATAAATGAAGCATAAAGCTCCACCAGAAGCTATCAGAACACACATTTGGCAAGATGTTAAATCTGTGGGAGTTTAACTACCTTCGAGTCAAAGAGAATGTTGGTCTCTGTTCCTGGCTCAGAGTCAGAACATCTGGAACAGATAGTGTAAGTGACTGCTGAGAGAATAGACAGATGTTTCCCTGTGACCTTGAGTCTTCCCAGAGAGAACACTCTGAATTCATTGAGCAAGCTTCATGTACTCAAAAATGGACTTTCTTTCCCAATTATTTCCCAACACCATAGTAGTCTGCTGGGAAGGAATGAGGTTGTCAGCAGCAAGAACATGTTGTGTTTGTCCTCTTTATTTGGGTTTGTTCTGTTCGAGGTCGTGCCATAGACTCAGTACAGCATGTAGCCTCTGAAATCCGGTGTGAATTTCTGTTCTTAGAAAACCTCCAGAGACAAGGAAGCTAGGATAATTCCATAAAAGCAGGGAAGAAGACAGAATGCTGTCTGCTTGTGGAATCACTTTTCTGACTTTCCTTTGTGACTCCCAGAACACATGTTGAATCCTTTAGTAAATGACTTCTCCATTCAAAGCTGTCATCACTGCTAAAGTCCTTCTTGATGAGATGAAAGTGGCATATGCAGTTCCCCAAATTATGTCATAAACTCAGGAATGTCCTATGGTTCTTAACCCTAAGTAATTTTTGTTCCTACACTCCCTTCCTCTTTTTCTCTATTCCACACACACTTCCTGTCTGTCTCCACCCACGCACAGGCCCTAGCCTGCCCTCTAATCTCTCCTGCAAAAATGTATAAAAACCAGAATGTATTCAACCAGAGAGTTTGGGAAGCAAAATTATCTAGTAAAGATCTTTAAAGCAGGTAATCATTTGATCTTTCCAGCATGATTGATGGGATGCCCTATCTTTAAGAATCATTGGTGGAGGGGCAAAAAAGAACATTTAAACATGCCTTCTAGTCTGGTGACTCCAGAGTGTTTTATGGTGATCCTTTTCAAAGTTGTTTTCCCTCAAGAGGAATTTCCCCAAGGAGCCCCTTAGGCAACTGAAGCACTGATTCTGCTGGGAGATCTGCACACATGCCACTGGGGAAATATTTGCTGGATGATTGGTTTGTTGCAATCACTCATCAAAACCTTTTACCTGATAATATTTCTTTGCTTTGCCTTGGATACACAGTAGGTACTGAATAAATGCTGATTGAGTAGAAGAATTGAAAAATAAAATATTTCTAAGATGTTAAAAACTAGATATGTATTCGTTAGGAGAGGCAATCTCTAAATGTGATCCCAGACACTCCTTAGTTACTTTGGTGAGGGACAGAATTAAGCATAAAAATCACTGGAAGTGGTAAAAGCTTTAAGATGTGTCGTACAGTGAGCCGAATGGATTTTTGGTAGTAGACAAAAGTTTAATAATCCATGTCTATTACATTGACAACTAACCTGAACTTTGGAATAACTAAAGAAGTGGCCAGGCATGTTGGCTCACGCCTGTAATCCTAGCACTTTGGGAGGCCAAGGCGGCCAGATCACCTGAGGTCAGGAGTTCGAGACCAGCCTGGCCAACATGGTGAAACCCCGTCTCTACTAAAAATACAAAAATTAGCCAGGTGTGGTGGCACCTGCCTGTAATCTCAGCTACTCAGGAGGCTGAGGCAGGGAGAATCGCCTGAATCTGGAAAACAGAGGTTGCAGTGAGCCGAGATCACACGATTGTACTCCAGCCTGGGCGACAGAGTAAGACTCTATCTCAAAACAAAAAAGTAAGACCTAATTAATTTAAATAATGTAACGGAAGCCAAGTTAATGAAGTTTTGCCTAGTAGATTACCTGTTTTAATGAAAAAGAATTGGCAGTGGTTGCTAGGTAAATGCTACTTGTAAATGTTTAATAACATTGAAAAATATAAACATTTTTACAGCATCCTTCAAAATTATTTTAACAATGAAATGTAGAGTTTTCATATCTGACTTGAAGCCCATCCCCCCCCCTTTTTTTTTTTGAGGCAGAGTCTCACTTTGTCACCTAGACTGGGGTGCAGTGGCGTGATCTCAGCTGACTACAACCTCTGCCTTCTGGGTTCAAGCAGTTTTCCCACCTCAGCCTCCCGAGTAGCTGGGTCTACAGGTGCCAGCTACAACACTCAGCTAATTTTTGTATTTTTAGTAGAGATGGCGTTTCACCATGTTGGTCAGGCTAGTCTTGAACTCCTGACCTCAAGTGATCTGCCTGCCTCAACCTCCCAAAGTACTGGGATTATAGGCTTGAGCCACCATGCCTGACTCCACCTCTTTTTTGAACTTACCATGCTGAAGCCCCGAACCCTCCCTTGATGCATTACTTCTGCATCTCTTTTAACATTTATTTTGCTCTTACAGTTGTATTAAAAAGGTCTCTTTGGACAGGGATTAATGTCGTCTTTGTTTTTGCATCTCACTTGGCACCCAGCACGGTGGACCTGGCAGGTGCTCAATAAATAAGGGACTAAAATTTATTGTGCTTCAAGTCCAGAACAGAAGTTAGTAGATATTTTTATCATTGTATTGAATGACTATGGTATAGCTAACCCTTTGTTAATTATAATCATGTACTGCATAATAACATTTCTGTCAAGGATGGACCACACATACAATGGTGGTCCCATAAGATACTGTATTTTAACTGTAGCTTTTCTACATTTTGATATGGTTGAATACACAAATCCATGCCGTTGTGTTACAATTGCCTGTGGTATTCAATACAGTAATATGCTGTACAGGTTTGCACCTTAGGAGCAATAGGCTATGCTATACAGCCTGGGTGTGTAGTAAGCTATATCATCTAGGTTTGTGTAGGTACACTCTATGATGGTCACACAACAACAACATTGTCTAACAACACATTTCTCAGAACATATCCCCATCATTAAGTGACACATGACTATACCGTGATAGAACAGGATTATAGAACATAGGTCCTACCGAAAAGGAAGTGTCCTAGTTGGGGGTGGGGAGGAATGCCACCCTGAGAAAATGAATGGTGCTGAGTGAATACTGTGGTTGGTTATTATGAATGATGCTTTTTATGCTTTAATATTTTTCTGCCTAATTCCTTAGTAATAGAGAAAGGTTAAAATTCCATTTTTCCTCTTCATCACCATTTAAATGAAATGGAATTTTTAAATGTTGTCAATTTCTATATTTGTGATAAATCTGTTTTGTGTTTTTTTGTTTTTTTGTTTTTTTGAGATGGAGTCTTGCTCTGTTGCCCAGGCTGGAGTGCAGTGGCACCATCTCGGCTCACTGCAAGCTCCGCCTCCCGGGTTCATGGCATTCTCCTGCCTCAGGCTCCCAAGTAGCTGGGACTACAGGCATCTGCCACCACACCAGGATAATTTTTTGTATTTTTAGTAGAGACGGGGTTTCACCGTGTTAGCCAGAATGGTCTCGATCTCCTGACCTCATGATCTGCCTGCCTCGGCCTCCCAAAGTGCTGAGATTACAGGCTTGAGCCACCACACCCAGCCATAAATCTATTTTTTTAAGAAATAATCTTGGCCTTCACCCACTGAGAAGACATAGGGCCTATATTAGTTTTCTGTTGCTGCCATAACAAATGACCACAATTTGGTTGTTTAAAACAATATGTTTATTATTTTCCAGTTCTATGTGTCAAATACAGTCTCAGTGGACCAAAATCTCCATGTTGGTAGGGCTGCAATGTTTTCTGAAGGCTCTAAAGGAGAATCTGTTTCCAGCTCATTTGGGTTGTTGGCAGCATTCTGCTCCTTGCAGTCATAGGCTCAGGTTCCCCTTCTTTTGCTGGCTGTCATCTAAGGGCTATTCTTGGCCTCTAGAGCTACCCACATTCCTCGACTCATGGTCCCCTCTCTCCATCTTCAAAGCCACCACTAGGTCAAATCCTTCTCATGGCACAGCTCTCTGACCCAGTCACTTCTGTGCCTGCCTCTCCAACTTTTAAGAATTTATGTGATTAGATTGGGCCCACCCAGATCATCCAATAGTCTCTCCATCTCAAGATCCTTCCCTTAATCACATCTGCAAAGTCCCTTTTGCCATGTGAGGTACCATCCCACAGATAACAGGGATGAGGATGTGGACATCTTTGGGGTCCATTATTCTGCCTCACACAGGGCCTTACTTATTTTATGTCCTTATTGTCCCTTACTGATTTAATGAATTGAATCTCTAGTTTACAGAGAAATTTGTAGAGAATACATAAAACTTTAAACTGTACCATTTCTATCAGATGTGATTTTTACTTGAACACAGGAGACAGTAATTACATGGAATAAATCATTGGTATCACAGTGAAGAAGCTAGGATTTGAGCTTGAGTTTTGAAAGCTGAGATTTGAAAGGTGCAAATGGTAAGCAGGGGAGGGCCTCCTAGCTGGGAGGGAAAAGATGGGTAAAGGCACAGAGATGGGAATGACTGTAGCAAGGTCGAGATCTGGCCTGTGACCATCTCTGCTCACATTCCCCCATCACCCTCTTTGCCCTTGTTATTCCTGTCCTCTCTCTCTCTGTCAAGTCCTCTCCAGGCTTTAAGGACACCTCTTTCATGATGCCTCCCTCAGTCTCCTCAATCAGATGAATCATACCTTCTTCTCCCATAGTGCTTTGCTTGTAACTCTATCAATGCATAGGTCCTTACTGCATTTTGATTTGTTGCATTGGTTAATTTCTTTATTGTTTATCCCCAATTAGACTGTAAGTTCTTTAGGACAGGGACTTTTTTTTTTTTTTCTATTTCTCTTTCTGTATATCATTTAGCCAGAAATAATAGACTTACTGAGGAATAAGGATTCATTCAGAACAAAGTTCACAATGGACTAAAATGTGAGGGTACCTGCACTGGGAAGCAAGGCTGCTAGGGCCAATATTTGCTCAGTAAATATTTGCTGAAGAGTATGAGGAGTGTGGCTCATTGGAAAGCAAAGAGTCGGCACCAGAAAGAGAAGCCGTTTTCAGAGGATGGGTTATGGAGGCTGCAGAAAGCCAGGCAGAGAGTATCATAACTTGATATCATAAGAAACAATTGTGGGTTTTTGTGAAATAATGCAAGCAGTGCTGTGGGAAGATCGGTTAGCCCATGGTAGACAGGATGGACTAAGCAGAAGAAGAAGAGTTTGAGAGGTCAGTTTAGGAGACTGTTAGAGTAACAGGTATGGGGTGATGCCATCCTGGATGGAGGCAGTGGCAATGACAGTGAGAGGAAGCTGCTAAGTTGAGAAACATTTTGAAGTAAAACTTGAATATTGGGATAAAGGTAAGAGAAGGTGATGTCTCTATACCATGAGAAGAATTTTAAATCTAGTGGCAGAAACAGCAGAGCTGAAGATAAGAAATCAGTGTGGGAGGTGGTGATCTTTTTGGGACGAGATGAATTAGAGATGACAGCTGGCCAGTCCATGAAAATGTCCCATGGATGACTGAGAATAGAGAAGCAGAGCACAGCCAGCTGCTGGATCCTGAGAACTGGAGGGTGAGGGCCATCTGCATAGCAAAGCCACGAGAATGAATTCACTGAAGGAGCCAGTCTTGAAATTGGAGCCATGCCTATCTGTGATGACAATTCAAGCCTGTGGACAGAGACTTGTGATTGGCAGGGCCGCTGTTAAGGGAATTCCTTTCACATGATTGGCTCTCATGGAGCCATTCCTTGTTTAGAATTGTGCTGCAGATAGAGGCAACACTGGGAGACTGCTGGTGCCTTTGTCCTCACCTTCATTTGCTCGTTCTCTAATGGTTGCGCATGAAGGTCTAGTTTTCTTCTTTGGTGGTTCACGTTTTGGATATTTGTTCTCTCAGTAAACATTTGGGGAGGAAATAATTTTCTTTTGTCCATATGATGTAATGTCTGATGCCTGAGTTTCTTAAAATAGCTTTTGTTCATGGACTGTGCCAAAAGAGGGCTAGGTCCTAATTGGAACAAGCTTTCCTCTCCTGGGAATTGGCTATGGGACGTTAAGAATTCCTATTCCTGGCTGGGCTCAGTGGCTCACGCCTGTAATCCCAACACTTTGGGAAGCTGAGGCGGGCAGATCACGAGGTCAGGAAATCGAGACCAGCCTGGCCAATATGGTAAAACCCAGTCTCTACTAAAAATACAAAAATTAGCCAGGTGTAGTGGCGGGCGCCTATAGTCCCAGCTACTCTGGAGGCTGAGGTGGGAGAATAGCTTGAACCCAAGAGGTGGAGGTTGCAGTGAACCGAGATCCTTCCACTGTACTCCAGCCTGGGCGACAGAGCGAGACTCCGTCTCAAAAGCAAAAACAAACAAACAAAAAAATAATTCCTATTCCTGTAGTATAACAATATGATACACAGAAAGAGGACTTCAGCTATGCTGTGGCAGGGCCATTTAGGATTTTATTTTATATATTTATTTATTTTGAGATGAAGTCTTGCTCTGTCTGGAGTGCAATGGCATGATCTCGGCTCACTGCAACTCCCACCTCCCGAGTTCAAGTGATTCTTTTGTCTCAGCCTCCCAAGTAGCTGAGATTACAGGTGTGTGCCCCTACACCTGGCTAATTTTTTGTATTTTAAGTAGAGACGGGGTTTCACCATGTTGGCCAGGCTGGTCTCAAACTCCTGACCTCAGGTGATCCACCTGCCTTGGCCTCCCAAAGTGTGGGATTACAGACGTGAGCCACTGCACACCCAGCCTTGGGACATTTTTAATAAGCCTGTGAGTGCAAAGTCTTCCTGTGAGTTGCAACTTGCCTTAGGTACCTTATTTAAAACTTTGGGATGGGAAAAAAAGAATCTTGAGAAGGGGTTAAAGTAACAATTCCAAACCACAGCTCATCTTTAAGTGAAGTAAAAATGGATACATGTAATTTGAGTTTTATTTTGCATACAAAATTATGATACTAATAAAAAGGACATAAGCTGAGAACAGAAGTTTCACTCTAGTTGCCCAGGCTGGAGTGCAATGGGGTGAACTCAGCTCGCCTCAACCTCCACCTCCCGGTTCAAGCGATTCTCCTGCCTCAGCCTCCCGAGTAGCCGGGATTACAGGCATGTGCCACCATGCCTGGCTAATTTTGTATTTTTAGTAGAGACGGGGTTTCTCCATGTTGGTGAGGCTGGTCTTGAACTCCTGACCTCAGGTGATCCGCCTGCCTTGGCCTCCCAAAGTGCTGAGATTACAGGCATGAGCAACCGCGCCCGGCTGCATTTCTTATATTTAGCATAGCATAGCCAATGGAAAGGGGGAAGAGAGACACGAGATGCAGAAGTAAAAATCACAGAATTTGATTCCTAATGGAGGGTGAAGAAAGAATCCGGAGAACTTCTAATTTCTGACTTGGTTGACTCAGCAGGTGGTAGCGCCTTCACCCTGATAGAGACCATGGGAGGGACTGAGGGCTTCTGTTTTAGATCCATTGGTTCAGGATGCCTCTGGGACAGCCAAGCTGGAGATGTTCTTCAGGGAGCTGGATATTTGAGTCTAAATCTCAGGAAATAAGCAAAAAATTTAAGATGCCAAAGCAAGAAAGTTTGGGACGTCGAAAACCTCCATGTGATGTGGATGGAGTGTCAGTCAAGAGAGGGCAAGGGAGGTAAAACAGAGAAGACCAGATTCTCGGCCATGCTTTTGGAGTTTGGGATTAATCCATAGGCACTATTTTTTTCCACATATGTATTTTCTGAAGAAAACAAGAACATGCTATGTATTTGGCCCGGTGTACTGAGTAATGGCAGCTGTAGGGCTGCTTCTGGCGGGTTGACTCGGGTGACCATGAACTCAGTTGACCTGGCTCCTCCTCCCTTCCAGTTGCTCTGCAGAGTCAGGCCAGTGCTCATGTCGGCCTCACATGATTGGACGTCAGTGCAATGAAGTGGAACCTGGTTACTACTTTGCCACCCTGGATCACTACCTCTATGAAGCAGAGGAAGCCAACTTGGGGCCCGTGAGTAGGGGAGTGCATGGCAGGTCGGTAAAGCAGTGTTTTGGGGTGTAGTGGAACATACATGCTTTGTAAAGAGTCCATTTCAGAAGCATTTTTATAGCTTTGTCAGTGAGCACAAAATAAGGATCAGGACCATGCCTTCGTGAGAACAGTCATATTTAAAGCTAAGTAAATCTATAACTCACAAATTGGCTTTGGAGCATTCACTGAAAAGGCTTTTGGTTGGTTGAAGAAATGTGTCTTTCCAAGAAACTTTTCTTCTCCCTACTTATGCTCCAAAGTTATCAACCTAACATGGTAAATACTGAGGCAAGGATATTGTTTCATCTGTTCATCCCCAAATTTAATGACTTCAAATGTATGCCTGCATGAGTTGGGGTGGGCTGAAACAGCTGGAGGCTGGCTGGGCATTTCTCTCCATACGACCTTTCTTTCTTTCTTTCTTTTGAGATGGAGTTTTGCTCTTGTTGCCCAGGCTGGAGTGCAGTGGCGCCATCTTGGCTCACTACAACCTCCGCCTCCTGGGTTCAAGCGATTCTCCTGCCTCAGCTTCCCAAGTAGCTGGGATTACAGGCATGTACCACCACGCCCGGCTAATTTTGTATTTTTAGTAGAGACAGGGTTTCACCATGTTGGTCAGGCTGGTCTCGAACTCCCGACCTCAGGTGATCTGCCCACTTTGGCCTCCCAAAGTGCTGGGATTACAGGCGTGAGCCGCCATGCCTGGCGATAGTGAGATTTCTTAGATGGCTTCTGGCTTCCAAAAAGAGGAAACAAGCTGTCAGGTCTCTTAAAGCTTGGACTCAGAAGTCCTAGAAAGTTCCTCATGTTCTGTTGGTCACAAGTCACAAGGACAGCCCAGATTCATGGAAAGGATAACATAGTTTGTACCTCTTGCTGGGTAAGGCCACACGGATACATACAGGGAATGAAAGAGTTGATCACAGCCATTTTTGGATATGACCAACAACAGGTATTAAAAAAATAACCCTGTAAACAGTTAATCAGAATTAACTCATCAGTTGTGAACATTCATTATCATATCAACTTTCTTTACTTGAAAATGGAGCCTAAAACTAATGCCAATATGAGAGACAGAAATTCACTAGATATTGGACTAACCTTGTGGAGAATCTGGGAAACACCTTATGATTCCTAGACTTGCTTATAACGGCAGGTGTGATGTTCTCTTTTTTCCTTTATGCTTATTCTCCTGGTCGTATCAAATAAGGTATATCCCAAGCCTTTGAGTGCCATCTCCAGTGTCCCAAGACTACTCCAACCACAAAACTAGAAAGGAACCAGTTTCCTGTTTGGATATCAAAAACTTTTTACAATCTATTAGGGGAGATTTGACTATAAAAAATAGACATAAGGTAGCAACCGTTTTTGAATCTTTGGATGACTTCGGGTTTCTTTGACTATTGAAAGTTATTGAATTCCATTTCAAATAAAGAATAACCATTTTTTTGCCATGTCCTCAGGGGGTTAGCATAGTGGAGCGGCAGTACATCCAGGACCGGATTCCCTCCTGGACTGGAGCCGGCTTCGTCCGAGTGCCTGAAGGGGCTTATTTGGAGTTTTTCATTGACGACATACCATATTCCATGGAGTATGACATCCTAATTCGCTATGAGCCACAGGTAAAGAAATCACTCAGTGGACTGGTGGAGGAGGGAGGGGAGAAATCAGTAGAAAAATAGTACTTCTAATGGGTATCATATATAGTTGTGAAATATGGAGGTTGCATCAGAACAGGTGAGATTCTGACAGTCTCACCTCCTCCATGGAAGTTAAAATGTACCTCTTTCTTTCTTTCTTTCATTATTATTATTATTATTATTATTATTATTATTATTATTGAGTCTCACTGTGTTGCCCAGCTTGGAGTGCAGTGGTGCAATCTCGGCTCACTGCAATCTCCGCCTCCCAGGTTCAAGCAATTCTCCGCCTCAGCCTCCTGAGTAGCTGGGATTACAGGCATGTGCCACCATGCCCGGCTAATTTTTGTATTTTTAATAGAGATGGGGTTTTGCCATGTTGGCCAGGCTGATCTCGAACTCCTGACCTCAGGTGATTCACCTGCCTCAGCCTCCCAAAGTGCTGGGATTACAGGCGTGAGCTACCACACCCAGCCAAAATGTACCATTTTCTTGAATCCAGTTTCTCAAACATAGTGATCTTTTGTGAGGCACTCAACCTTGCTGAGGACTGAGGTGGTGATGAGGATGTATGAGATCCTCTCCTTCCCTCACAGCCTGGCTGTCCAGTGACAGACTGAAGCCCCGAATTGTAATGAAAGACTGAAGGTGACGGTGCAACAGCAGAGAGATGCATGGTCCTAGAAGATGGGCATGCACCAGCCAGCCCGAGCCAGGGCTACCAAAATGTTTTCCTAGAGAATCAGAGTGAGGCCTTAAAGTGTGAATGGAATTGTGGAAAGCTGGCACAAAAGTAAGAAATAGTGTGAGTGGAAAAGAGAAGGGAGGGTTTTGTTTTTATTGAGAATCATTCCACATAGCTTGATGAGAGATATGGTTGGAGATGCTGTTGGCAAGAATACTTGGATTAGTAAAGGAATTTGGACTATAATATTCACAGGAAGCTATTGAAGCATTTCAAGCAGGGGATTGTCATTATCTGAGATGCTTTAAAGTGGACTGAAAGGGACATTGGGAAGAGGCAGAGAACAGTTGAGAGGTGTTTCAGCATCCAGGGTAGAAGGGATTTAGGCTGGAACCAGGGGAGTAGCAGACGTAGTAGTAAAGAGGAAAGGGAAAAGCAACTGTTTGTTTTCCATTTCAACTTGGCAATTGATTGATTTGGAGAGGTCTTTTTATAAACAGGCAGTGGTGGACTAACCATCTTTTCATTGTTTGTTTCTTATTCTAGCTACCCGACCACTGGGAAAAAGCTGTCATCACAGTGCAGCGACCTGGAAAGATTCCACCCAGCAGCCGATGTGGTAATACCATCCCTGATGATGACAACCAGGTGGTGTCATTATCACCAGGCTCAAGGTCAGTGTGACAGTGGTTTGGCAGCTCAACAGACTTCATATGCAAATTAGTATTTTTCTAATATTTTGTGAGTTTTCAAGTCACCATTTCAGAGCCAGACGTTGACTGCTGACTTTTTTCCTTTGGAATTATTGATGCAGAGCTTTGTTCTTAATTTTTATTTTTTGGATGCATGAAGGTTGACTTTCGTTGTTGTCTTTCTTTTTTGTTCGGGGGCAGATATGTCGTCCTTCCTCGGCCGGTGTGCTTTGAGAAGGGAACGAACTACACAGTGAGGTTGGAGCTGCCTCAATACACTTCCTCTGATAGCGACGTGGAGAGCCCCTACACGCTGATCGATTCTGTAAGTGTGAGATCGCTTCTGGCATATGCAGGAAAGCCTGGGCGGAAAGTGCCCAGCTGCTCCCAGGGTGTTGTGTTGAGGCGTAATGCTGAGGCCAGCGCTTAAGCAGAATCATTCTTTCTTGCCTCTGAGGTCACTTTGCTTATACTCCACCCCGTGGAAAGGATTTATTCCTTCTAAAAATGTAAAATGTCTTTAAAAAAAAATAGTATTTCACTGGGCCTAGTGACTCACACCTGTAATCCCAACACTTTGTGATGCTGAGACAGGAGGATCGTTTGAGGCCAGGAGTTCAAGACCAGCCTGGGCAACAAAGCAAGACCCCATCTCTAAAATAAAAATAGCATTTCAAAAGCCATCAAGCTGTGTAAAATATATCTAAAATGTCCTGCCAAGAGTATTTAGGAATAGGGAGGTTTATGCTTTATTTAATGAGTCTAATGATTTCTGTTCAAGGATCAAAGAAGCATTTGGGTTTTTTCCACGTTTGCTTGCTTAAACCCACGCCATGGGGCACCACTGTAAGGATGTTTGGCTGTTCTCATTTCTTCACAGCTTGTTCTCATGCCATACTGTAAATCACTGGACATCTTCACCGTGGGAGGTTCAGGAGATGGGGTGGTCACCAACAGTGCCTGGGAAACCTTTCAGAGATACCGATGTCTAGAGAACAGCAGAAGCGTTGTGAAAACGCCGATGACAGATGTTTGCAGAAACATCATCTTTAGCATTTCTGCCCTGTTACACCAGACAGGCCTGGGTAGGTATTGCTTGGCAGCTGCAGCAGCTGCTATTTCTGGCTCTGAGTATACCTGGCACACGAAGTGCAGTGGAGTGCCCGCCCCGTAGCCCTGTGTTAGGCAGCACAAGGGAAATAGTGTCTTAGTTACTGTGTGTCTTTATCTTTTTAAGTAATATTTTAGCGATAGAGCACCACTGAAGATGGAATCGATATTCAAGAAATATGCAAATAACAGGTGATCAGGGGAAAAGTCCATGAAGATAAAGCATTTCCATAAGCAGGGTAGTGAGTGGGGAATGGAATCAGAGAAGCATCAAATGACTGAAATGTGTGTTTTTCTCTTTGAAAGGTCAGACCATCCTCTGAAGGTCACTGGGCTTTGGTCTAATGTCCTGTGATATTTGAGCTTTGAAGGCAAGGGGAGAAAACGTTAATGACCTCCTGCCTAGAAAAACTGCTTTGGTCTGCAACTCTGCCTCCCTTTTCTTCCCTTCCGTTCATCATAGGGATGATACTGTTTTAAACCAGAACTCTGAATAAACCAAAGTAGTAAAGGAGAAAGGATCAGGGAAAGCCTGTTGATATGCTGCTCCGTTTCATGGGTTCTGACCTCTCTTTACCCACAGCGTGTGAATGCGACCCTCAGGGTTCATTGAGTTCTGTGTGTGATCCCAATGGAGGCCAGTGCCAGTGCCGGCCCAACGTGGTTGGAAGAACCTGCAACAGATGTGCACCTGGAACTTTTGGCTTTGGCCCCAGTGGATGCAAACGTAGGTTCCTCAAAAGCATTGTTATGCATTCATTCAGATTAACTCAGCCATTGTGGCAGGGTTCCATGGCTGCAGAGCCGATGCCTCCCTCTTGAAGTTGATCACACCAACCCATGAGCATTCTGAATTGGGAACAGGGTGCTTATAAAAGGGGCATGTTTCCATTGAATGAGTTTCTCAAGGCAGTTCCTTGTTTGCCTGTTTCTTTAGCTTGTGAGTGCCATCTGCAAGGATCTGTCAATGCCTTCTGCAATCCTGTCACTGGCCAGTGCCACTGTTTCCAGGGAGTGTATGCTCGGCAGTGTGATCGGTGCTTACCTGGGCACTGGGGATTTCCAAGTTGCCAGCCCTGCCAGTGCAATGGCCATGCCGATGACTGCGACCCAGTGACCGGGGAGTGCTTGAACTGCCAGGACTACACCATGGGTCATAACTGTGAGAGGTATGCAGACGCTGAAAGTAAGGAGAATGCAATGATCTCTGGCTGAGCAGACAGCATCTTAGACCAGCCACAGAATTCATCTCCACCAGGTTTCAGCTCACTCATTCATTTCTAACCACCTCATTATTTTTTAGGATCTTGTTTATTTATCTAGTATGTATTGAGTTTACATCCTCTATGTGCCAGGCACCGTTCTGGTGCTGGAGATACCGCAGAGAATAAAACTGACACGAATCTGTCCTCTTGGAGAGTCACCCTAGAGCTTACCATAGGGCTGTATAGAAATTCTGTCTGTCTCAGCAGATTCTGACCGAGGATGAGAGTTGTGAAATGCTCCTGCCTAATTTAGGCGAAAGGAGAAACTAATCCAAATGGGATTCGTCATTTTAAATAGCTTTGTTTTTCAGAACACTTTATGCAACCACAGTTTCCGGGAGACTCTATAAAACATGCCTAAGTAGATCTGTTCTCCAGTTAGCAAATGTCAGTTGAATAATCATTATGGATGTGCTAGATATATAGTAAGAAAAGGAGAGAGAATGTGCCTCCATAACATTAATAGGATAGCTCAATAGATAAAAAATAGTCCATAAGAAAAAATTACCTGCTGACTTATACTTATCATTACTAATTAAGAAATGCAGACAGTACTGTTAGAAATGGCTTTTTGGGGGTAACAGTCCGCACCTTTTCACTGTGATAAATTTTCTCTCTTCCAACATCCATTCGCCCTATAGAAGATATTTGTTTTTAAAAGTTACTTGTGAAACACTGCAGCAAGTGCTTCAGTCAGTGGTGAAGTTACTCATGAGATGAAAGAGAAATTGTTAGTGAAACACTGAGCATGTGATTAACTTTTGGCATGAAGATGTTCATGGAGGCAAACATGTGGCTCTCGGCTCAATGCTAGAACGGTATTCAAGAATAAAAATTATCCCTTCCAACCTTAAAATTGTGTTGTAAAAAGATAGCAAGGACACAGTTATACAAGAGTGAAAGGAGGAAATTAATATACTGGGGTCATCTTTTTCTTTTCTGCCCTGTTTTCCATTATTGTGTTTTCAAAGAGAGCTGGAGAATACGAGAGAAAGACAGGAGAAAACCAGATTAACCGGGAGCAGAGAGAGGAGGGGTAACAGAGGTAAACAGCAAAGGGGGCTGCCACAATGCTGATTCATAATCAGCATTCACACTGTGGAATGCATTTGAACAAACATCATGTCAGAATGGCATAGTTGATCTGTGACCAGCTTTGGATTTTATTTGTAAAGGGATTTGAGAATGAGAAAGGGTGTGGGAGAAGGAAGATTTTTAATTTTAGGTTTGGGTGGCAAACACTTGATTTTAAGTATTTGGAATTTTACTATCTAGTTTGAGCCAGTTTCTCATTATTCTTTTTTCTCATTCCAAGATAACCACAGTTTCAATCCTGTGAATTTATAAAGAAACTCTACACTTAGATTGTTCCCAAGGGGAGGCAAGAAATGAACAATTTCTATCATGATGTATTTGGATTGCCTCCAAAAGACTTGAGAAACAAATTGAATTGGAAATCCTTGGACCTCAGTTCCTGGCCCAATTCTGCTTCTAACTTGCTTTCTAACCTTGGGTGAATTAGGATATCCAGCTTTAAAACATTTTTTTTGAGACAGAGTTTCACTCTTGTTGCCCAGGCTGGAGTTCAATGGCACAATCTTGACTCACCACAACCTCCGCCTCCCAGGTTCAAGCAATTCTTCTGCCTCAGCCTCCCAAGTAGCTGGGACTACAGGCTTTTTGTTGTTGTTGTTTGTTTTAAGATGGAATCTCATTCTGTCACTCAGGCTGGAGTGCAATGGTGCAATTTCAGCTCACTGCAACCTCCATCTCCTGGGTTCAAGCGATTCTCCTGCCTCAGCCTCCCGAGTAGCTGGGATTACAGGCACGTGCCACTATGCCTGGCTAATTTTTTGTATTTTTAAGAGAGATGGGGTTTCACCATGTTGGCCAGGCTGGTCTCGAACTCCCAATCTCAGGTGATCCACCCACCTCAGCCTCCCAAAGTGCTGGGATGAGCCATTTTACAGGGGTGAGCCACCGCACCTGGCCGGAATATCCAGCTTTTCATAAGTAGAATAGCTAGGTTGGATTAGATTGTCTCCAAAGTTCCTTCAAGATGTTATGTTGAAGGAAATTAAAAAGTAACCTAATTACCATTCATCTTGACAAGCAGGCTAACATAGTAAAAGAATGTATTGCTAAAAGGACACCGAGTTCAACTTCTAGCTCATTATTTAACTAGTTGTATAAACTTTGAGGATCCTTTGACCTCCATGTATTTGTTATCTTTAAAGAGTGGGATTGACGTGTTGGATGTGGGAACTAATAAGTAACATGCCCCATCCCTGCCTGAGTTTGGAACCACCTGAGAGACAAACACAGGGGCTACACAGCTGGACAGCACCCCTGTCACCCCCTCAGCTCCAGTACTGGGAAAAGCTGGGTTGTAGGACATGGCTTTAGACCTGTGGCCACCGTGGGCTTGCCAACACATCACCCCTCCCAGGCATAGGCAGAGGCCGACCGGTATAAGCCACCCCTAGGAGGACAGACCCCGTAACACAAGGAGGGAGCAGAACTGAATGGTCAGGACAGGCAGACAGCTGATGGAACAATCAAGTGCACATGGGGAGAGGTGGCTCATCCTCTGGGGAACAGTGAGTGAGGGGCCAGGTGAGGCCATGGGTGTCACTCAAACGCAGTGGTCCTGCAAGTAGGATCCCTGGATCAGCAGCATCAGTATCATGGGGACCTACTGAATCAGAAAGTCGGTGGGAGGAGCCCAGTCATCTGTTTCAGGTGATTCTGATTGAAGCTAAAGTTTGAGAACCATGGTTCTCATAGTAAATCTTCCACATGAAAACATAAAGAGAGGTGGGCAGATCACCTGAGGTCAGGAGTTTGAGACCAGCTTGACCAACATGGTAAAACCCCGTCTCTACTAAAAATACAAAAATTAGGCTGGGTGTGGTGGCTCACCCCTGTAATTCCAGCACTTTGGGAGGCTGAGGCAGGTGGATCACCTGAGATCAGGAGTTCAAGACCAGCCTGGCCAACATGGTGAAACCCTGTCTCTACTAAAAATACAAAAATTAGCCAGGTATGGTGGCAGGTGCCTGTAATCCCAGCTACTCGGGAGGCTGAGGCAGGAGAATCGCTTGAACCGGGAGGTGGAGGTTGCAGTGTGCTGAGATCGTGCCACTGCACTCCAGCCTGGCAACAGAGCAAGATTCCATCTAAAAAACAAAAAAAATTTAGCCGGGTGTGGCGGCATGTGCCTGTAGTCCCAGCTACTTGGGAGGCTGAGGCAGGAGAATCACTTGAACCCGGAAAACAGGTTGCATTGAGTTGATATAGCGCCACTCCAGCCTGTGTGACAGAGCAAGACTTTGTCTCAAAAAAAAAAAAAAGAAAGAAAAAGTGAGTGGAGAAGAGTGTGCCCAAACAGAACAGTTTTCAAGGCTTTCCTTGGAACAGGTTTCTTAGAACTGTGGGATCATGGCCTGCTCTCTTCTGTGACTGATGCAGGTGCTTGGCTGGTTACTATGGCGACCCCATCATTGGGTCAGGAGATCACTGCCGCCCTTGCCCTTGCCCAGATGGTCCCGACAGTGGACGCCAGTTTGCCAGGAGCTGCTACCAAGATCCTGTTACTTTACAGCTTGCCTGTGTTTGTGATCCTGGATACATTGGTAAGTCGTGTGCAGACTTTGGGAAGCAAAGAGGGAGGAAAAGATGTCTTTATGAGTTCATCGTTAATGAGAAAAAAAGATGCAAAGTGAACCAATTAAGTCCACTTTTATAATCTTTAATTTAAAATTAAAGTTAGAAGAGATGCTCTTTTCCTATTTGACACATAGGGTAGAGTCAATTCATGAGCCTCTGATAAGAATGTTATAACACAAAGCAGGAGAGCAAGCTCGTGGAAATCTGGAAACCCTGTGGAATACTTTTCTGTTATTAAACATTAGAAAGATTAACTTACATTTTACTCCTGCCTTTCTTTATCCAACTCCTTGCAAAAGTATCTCAAAGCTGTGAGGTGACCAAATAGTGGTCAGAAGAAAGAAAAGAATATCATCCAGGGAATCACCAGATGGCTGAATATATTCTTCACTGTTATGATACTCACATTATCTACCAAGATTCAATGACTCTAGCTGGGTTGTAAAAAACTCCCTTTTATTTCATCCTTGAAGCCACTGTTACAAATACTACTTATGCTTATACGTAGCTCAGTAAATGTTTTTTGCATATACTTTCAGCATTTCTTAGGGAAATTGGTCATCATTAAAGATCTCATTTTTCAGGTTGCTCACAGAGGAGTGGTAACTTTTCAGTCTCTGTAATTCTTGAATTAGGCCATATGTGGTGGCTCATGCCTGTAGTTGCAGCACTTTGGGAGGCTGAGGCAGGCGGATTGCTTGAGCCCAGGAGTTACAGACCAGCGTGGGCAAGATGGCGAGACACCATCTCTCCAAAAAAAAAAAAAAAAATTTACAAAATTAGTCAGGTGTAGTGCTGCAAACCTGTAGTCCCAGCTGCTGGGAAAGCTGAGGCGGGAGAATTCCTAGAACCCAGGAATTCAAGGCTGCAGTGAGCTATTATCATGTCACTGCATTCCAGCCTGGGTGATAAAGAAAGGCCCCATCTCTTAAAAAAATGTAATCCTTGGATTAGGATTTTAACATGAAGCTACACTTCACATTGTTTGTTAGTTTGCTCCCACCCTGTGTGCTCAGAAGCTAAAGTCCCATGTGCTAGGACCCTTCTCATAACTGTCCATACGCGCTGTGGCCTCTGAGGCAGCCGCAGCACTGTTAGAGGATACAAAATGTTAGATTGGCGCAAAAGTGACTGTGGTCTTTGCCACTGAAAGTAATACTGCCTTCCCCTCACAATTCAAACCTATTCTTTCCCCTTCGGATGCGATCACCCTGGGCTCTGTAAATCGCGCAGTGGAGATGAAGCACTGCCACGGTCACCTGTCTCTAGGCATGAGTGTCGGCGCACTGGGGAGCTTTTGGTCAATAAGCTAAACATCTTGTGCTTGGTTTTATTGGGTGACAGGTTCCAGATGTGACGACTGTGCCTCAGGATTCTTTGGCAATCCATCGGAAGTTGGGGGGTTGTGTCAGCCTTGCCAGTGTCACAACAACATTGACACGACAGACCCAGAAGCCTGTGACAAGGAGACCGGGAGGTGCCTCAAGTGCCTGTACCACACCGAAGGGGAACACTGTCAGTTCTGCCGGTTTGGATACTATGGTGACGCCCTCCGGCAGGACTGTCGAAGTAAGACGCACATTTATTCTGCCTAGTCCTTATAATGACTCCCACCTCTTTTTATTATTATTATTATCAGCAGATTTTATTCTTCCTGTATTTATTTCACGTGGGAAAACATTTGTTCAGAGAGGTAAAATTTCACTTTCAACTAAGGAAAGATGAGACCAAATTTTTTTCTCTTTCACTTTTTCTTTTCTTTCCATTTTTTCTTTTTTTTTTTTTTTGAGACAGAGTCTCACTGTGTCGCCCAGGCTGGAGTGCAACAGCATGATCTCAGCTTACTACAACCTCTGCCTCTCAAGTAGCTGGGATTACAGGCACCTGCCACCATGCCCAGCTAATTTTTGTATTTTTAATAGAGACGAGGTTTCACCATGTTGGTCATGTTGGACTCAAACTCCTGACCTCAGGTGATCTACCCACCTCAGCCTTCCAAAGTGCTGGGATTACAGGCGTGAGGCATTGCGCCAGGCCATGTTTATTTTTTTCTTTACATCCACACTTTCTAGCAGGACTGAGGTCTCAAGATGTGACTTGGTGCCTGGGAGAGATAACAGGAAAGAAAAACCATGTAGCTTTCCCCATGATAAATGGCATCCAGTAGAGGGTATTGATGGTATGCTTTGCCCATGAACTTGCTGGTTGGATGGACTTTGAAATCCTAAATACCCACTGTGGTCCCACCTTTTCTAGTTGCATTGATGGAATAGAGCCTTCCAGCTTAAGGAAGAGAAAGAAGTAGCATCTCTAACATTTCTCTTTTGGAACTCTTTGTTTCTCTCTTATCAAGAGATCAACTAGCATTTCCTCCTGCTGCAGCTGCACAGCCCCCAGGCTCCTGGCTTTGTTTATACAAACATGTGTGGAATGCTAGCGACCAGCAGGACTGGATTCCTTAAAGCCTTAGTAGCTTAAAGGGCTTTTACCTGCTATGTCCGACACGTTTATTACTGCTGTTCCCTGCCAAGAGTTTGAAATTATTAGATATCTCAATTCCCACTGGCATTTTTTTTTTTATTATTTCCAGTTAAACCTTCAATTTTAAAATGACTCACCAGCATCTTGTCAAATCTGTGTATTTTGAACATACTTTTAGGTGAAATGTATCATTGTGTGTATCTGGGAAATGTCAGAACTGTGTAAGACATCATGAGAACTTCTAAACAACAATAATTTTAGCTTTCTTTTTGAATCACCTCCATTTCTTTCCTTCTTTGCATTTCAAGGTCAGGATCTGAAGTGGGAACATCTTAGCGTTTAGATGTGGCTAACGTCTGCATGCCTGTGTATTTGGGAGTGTGACAATAAGTAAATGTGATGTTCTTTTTCAGAGTGTGTCTGTAATTACCTGGGCACCGTGCAAGAGCACTGTAACGGCTCTGACTGCCAGTGCGACAAAGCCACTGGTCAGTGCTTGTGTCTTCCTAATGTGATCGGGCAGAACTGTGACCGCTGTGCACCTAATACCTGGCAGCTGGCCAGTGGCACTGGCTGTGACCCATGCAACTGCAACGCTGCTCATTCCTTCGGGCCATCTTGCAATGAGGTGAGGGACTGCTGCTGGGGATGATGCCTTTATGAGCCCAGGGGTCAGCTTATGGTGACTTTGCCCCAGTTACAGCAAGGCCTCAGGGCACATGGCTTGGCAAACACAGCGTGGCCTGGATCTCAGCCCTCATTTGTACCCCTTGACTGGGTCTACATAACTGTGCACAGACTCCCCATCAGACACACCCATAGCATTTCAATAGAGGGTCCGAGCTGCAGATGCAGACTCACATAAGAATAGACAAGGGTGTGCTATTTCTCTTCTTCTCTTCAGTACCTGGCCGCTGAAGCAGACTTTTCTCTTAGCTTCTCAACTTGAAAGGAACCAATTAGCCATACCCAGCATTGTAAAAAGTGCTGTTGTTTCCTGACACATACTAAGGAGGACATACTCCCTAAGTCAGGCGAGTCAAAGGTGGCCCAGGATTGTGGCTGATCTGTGAGGATAAAAGTGAGGGAACAGGTAAATAAATAATAATATGCCACAGACCTTTCCAAGCCCTGTTGCAAAAGAGCAGTTAGATGCTGGCATGGGGCTCTCGACACCTATGATCGAGGCGGAAGTCCCTTTTCCTAGTCAATGGAGACCTTCTCAGGTGAACAGTTCATTCCCACTTCTAACTGGCAGCTAGAAAAAAAAGATGACAACTGGCTTCTGGCCTGAAGCCTGCTTGACTAAGGTCTGTGTTCTGGCCACAGTTCACAGGGCAGTGCCAGTGCATGCCTGGGTTTGGAGGCCGCACCTGCAGTGAGTGCCAGGAACTCTTCTGGGGAGACCCTGACATGGAGTGCCGAGGTGAGGTGCGGGCGTTCTCGCGTTGACTTCATCAGAGAGTGGAGGGAACGGGGTTTCTGCAAGAGCCTTCTGTAAATTATAAAACACAGTACAAATTAACGTGTCGATAAGAACCTGTATTTAATTGCAAAAATAAATTAACACTGATTGTTTAAAAAACAATCTAACAAATCTAGCCCTGCCCATAAGTATAGGTAGTCAAGAGTGGATGTGCGTACTCTCCCGGCCCCACACCCTGGGATAAAGTTTGTTTCTGTGTGTCTGTAAGCAAGCACACACACACACACCATAAATACACAGCTGCTTTTTAAAATACTTTTAACCAAAGTGGGACCATATGAACCATGTTTGGCAAAGTGACTTTTTACCCCCTCTAAACAGTATTTTGTGGCCAACTTCCTTGATGGCACAAGAAGAGGTAAATGGTTATCCTAGTAAGATCACTGAAGGCCGGCCGTGGTGGCTCAAGCCTGTAATCCCAGCACTTTGGGAGACCGAGATGGGCGGATCACGAGGTCAGGAGATTGATACCATCCTGGTTAACATGGTGAAACCCCGTCTCTACTAAAAATACCAATACAAAAAAACTAGCCGGGCGAGGTGGCGGGTGCCTGTAGTCCCAGCTACTCGGGAGGCTGAGGCAGGAGAATGGCATGAACCCGGGAGGCGGAGCTTGCAGTGAGCTGAGATCCAGCCACTGCACTCCAGTCTGGGCGACAGAGCGAGACTCCGTCTCAAAAAAAAAAAAAAAAAAAAAAAGATCACTGGATTCATTGG